ATTTGAAACGAAATTAAAGACTATTTTTTATTTGAAATGAAATTAAAAAATAGGCACTTAATTCAAAAAAATTCAAAAATATGTAATATAAAATTTCTATTATAAATTTTTTATTAAATTAAACAAATAGTAATACATTATAATATTGAAAATGTCAAAAATATATTTAGACATACACATACTTATAAAAAAAATTGTCTTCGTTTATTGATATAAAATTATTGATGATAGTATCAACATCAAAGTTTTCCAACATATTTTTTTTTCAATTTATAACATAACATTTGAAAATAAAATAACAATCTTATCTAGAATTTAAAAATATATAAAACTCAAAAGAAATAATTTGGAAACATGATCTTACCTAGAATTTTAAGAACAATATTCAATGTGATTCAAGCACCACAATTGATGATAAACAATTGTGACTTTATGTTTGTGAGAGCTATGAGAAATTTATATAATAATTTTCAGAAGAATTGTGAAATATGGTAGAGAAAAGATAGTTAAATTTGTTCCTCCCATTGAGCTTTGAAGAAACAAAATAACGTTAATAAAATTTTTTCATTGATATGAAAAATCGAGAAAGAGATTTAATTCATTAATGGTGGGAATTTGGAAATATCAAAATTAGAGAGATTCAATTGATTTTTTTTAAATTTTGGGAAATAAATATTAAATTAGAGTTCTATGAAAAGTGAAACAATTTATTAATATTAATATAAAAATTAAATAATGATTGTTAACATCTTAATAAACTTATGAGTCTCATTATTTTATTTTATATTTTTAAATTTATTATCAACAACTAAAAAAATTATATAAAGAATTTTTTAATTTATGAGCCTTGGGCCGGCGTCCCTCCTGCCCTGGCCAGGGTCAGCCCTGGAGTTATGTAAGGGGGTTGGTTGCTTGTGTTTCTAAAATTCTTTTCAAATTTTGAGTTGTATATCGTTTGACATCAATATGGTGCATTCTTTCTTTTCTGTTTAAGTTTATAGAGATTATTTAATAAGGCACATATTATTTATTTATATTTTTGTATCTTTCATCTAATAAAAGCATACATAATATCCCTTTTCAACAAGAAAATGAATTATATATAAGGAAAATTTTATGTACTCAAACAAACACACAATTAATTAATTGTCACCTCCTGCAATTGCTTGATTTTCATATTTAATATTCACTGTTTTATGGTTGTGTAGAAATAAATGATGCAACACATAAGGAGACAGTAATAAGATTAAGTTGATTATTTAAAAAATAAAAATATTTAAAATTATGATATATAAAGTTATAAATAATAAAAAGTATATAAAATATATATTTAAATTGCACGAACCAACTTACCTCAGTGGTTAAAGGAATTGTTGGTGTTCTTAGAAGTCACAAGTTCGAGCATTAGCAACTACAGCAGGGTTATTGAGCGGTTATTGTCAAATGATTTAGAGTATTTAGAAAATATACTACTTTGTAATCTTCTTAGATTAATCAATGTATATATATATATATATATATATACACACACAGGGGCGTGGCTGAGCCAGCGCATAGTGCGCGACGACGCAGGGTCTCATAAAACAAGAGTCCCGAAATAGAGTATATCTATCAGTTGTTGCCATTAAGAAGCAGAAAAATAGGTATAGAGTAGTGGTTAGATCATTGGGTCCATGACTTTGTTGATCTTAAGTTCGGATCTCATTAACAAGCAAAATTATTTTTGGGAAAAACAATGCAAGTGAGCCCCTGTTTTTAAGTTAATGAAATTAGTCATTTATTATTTCATAAAAATAAGTTCGAGATCTAAGGGCCCCTTTACAAGAATTTGCACAGGGCCTCCAACAACCTAGCCATGACCCTGTATATATATATATATATATATATATATATATATATATATATATATATATATATTTAAATTATTAAAAAACTATAAAAATTGAAAAAAATATTAAAAGAATAAAAAAATAAGAGTCAAAATAAGTTTTTAATAAGATCAAGAAGAAAAATATCATTAAACCTAAAAATTAGGTTACAATTAATTTTTATTAGAACATTAAGGTCTTGCATAAAGTGTTAAAATATTATATGAGTAATCGTAACAAGTTTCGTGTAAAAGTTTGCGGTCTTGACTCGCAATTATCTGTTTAATTATTTATTTCAACAGTTAGATTATTATTATTATTTATTAATACGAGGTAAGTATAACATAATATCTATCAGTGGCGGATCTAGAAATAATTTTGAGGGTAGACACATATGTATTAACAATATAAAATTTTTGAATGGTTGAGCATAAATAAAATTTTAGGGTGGATACCATCAATAAAATATGTGACTAATCGAAGAAAATTTAAATTTCAGGATGGGCATGAGTCATGAATGGATCAGCCACTGGTACCTGTTCAAAAATGCTTCACCAGTTAGAGTTTTTTTATTAATCTGGAGTAAGCATAATACAATATTTGTTCAAATATAACTAACAACCATTTAACATTGAACGCTCACACCCTTGACATTTTTTATGCTCGAACTCAAGATCTCAAAGAACAACAACAATTCATTTATCACCGAGGTCACTTGGATCGTACTTCAACAGTTATATTAGATGCGATAACTATGGGATATGTTTGTAATTGGAAACTAAATAATTTGGGGACGGATTAATTATTCGCTTTTAGAAAGGATAGAGATTAGGCGGACGAGGGAGATATCGCAAATCAAGGTTTATCTTTTGGCAATTCAATAGAATAAGATGAGGATGATTTAAAGTGATTGAAGCATGGGTTTGGAAAAAAAAAGCCTAATTAAGGGACATTCATTCTCAATGAAACTTTGACTTGAGCATCAAATCCACCCAAAGATCTTTTTATTATATGCAATTTTGCAATCATTTCTTTTCTAAAGGCCAATAGATTCTTGAGAGAATTTACGTAAAGTGTACAATAATGATCACTATTTTTTTCACTAGTTTGGTCGTTCAACCTTGTAGTCGTGGGATCAAGTCTCACTGAAGGCAATTCATAACGGAGGTCTTCCTCAACCTGGCGTTGGGCAGCCTACTATCCTACTTCCTCTTACCCTATTACATATGGGAATAGGGTCAACTAATTTTTGGTCGCTCAATTCTCGATCCTAAAATCACACTCATGGAATCAATTAATTAAAATATTTGATTCGGTTTATTTCAAGTAATGGCTTTTTTACTTTGCTTATTAAAATTATTGAAACAATAACGTGAGTCGCTTTGGTGGCCAATAGGACCATCAAAATCTAATTGTGAGAACTATGATCCTCCACTATTAGATTCATGGTAGGGATTTCTTGGATACCTCAATTTAAGATACATCCTTTTGTACAAATCAAATTGTCGGTCCAAATCAAATCGGATAAATCATTTATATCTCTTCGATCAAATTAGACATGATGAACCATTATACATCCTTCCACCAGGTAGAGTGTTGAGATGATTCATTATCCTTCTACCGATGAATATTGGAATACTTTTATTTGTACACATGACTCCTCGTCCAAATTGAGAAGGATGAATCATTAGATGTACACAATAAAAATGGAGATATAGAAGAAGGACCTACAATATAGTTCACACCTCATCATTTGCAAAACATCAGCCTCAGATGCTTCAGTTTGTTCGTTTCATATATCAAAGGGTACAAGGTGTTGTGTCTTTCCTAAGCTTCGCCGGAAAGACTAGACAAGAGTACAATACAGGGGCTCACTTTAGACATGACAAAAACTCGACATATACATAACATCATTGTTCTACATTCTAGAGTAAGGAGAAGTTCCAAAACATGTTTGAAGGGAACGAGAATATAAAAAAGAAATGCAAGAGAAAAAATGGGAAAGGTTTTATAACTCATCATTTTACTGTAATTCGTCATTCTATTTTTTCTCCATCAACAATGTTAATACTGATAGATGAATTATATATAATTACATGTGCCACCATAATTTTTGTAACTAATTAGTTGATTGACCTTTAACCAACTAAAATTATTAGGATTCCTTTTGTTATTACCATTATAGAAAGGAATTGTAATGATGGAAAGGCCATTGTCTGCTTCAAATTTGAAAGCCTGTTTTTTGAAGGTCAAATTTGAAAGTTAAAAAGAAGAGAGAAGGGAAAGGGTAAAAATTTATTCCAGCAAAGATTACACCATCTTGAAAGTGACAAATCTTGCTTCCTTCGCCTTTAGACAAGCTGCCCTCTGAGACAAAACAGTAATAATCATTAAATCAGGTTTTTAGTTGGCTCTCATTTATGTTTACAGCTTTGGTTAATTGATAAACCAACTTAATCCCCTACTTTTAACCGCCGCATTCAACTCACACCATATTTCTAAAAGTCACGTAAGGATCGACTCGGTCCGCGTATGATAAATATAAGGGTAAATTATGTATTTAATCATCCACTTATTTTTATAATTTCTTTAGGGTAGTTCAATTATATGTAATGTTATGTTTTGGTTCAGTTTTGACCACCCGTCTTTAACAAATTAACAATAATTTCAATATGTCACGTCATCGTTGAAAATAAAAAATTTCATGTTAATAATTATGTTTATTTTTTAATGATAGATTATCGAAATAAAATTAAAATATAGCGTTAAATATAACTTTAAGAAAAAATAATTAAATAACCAAAATGTAATTGTGAAAATAAATGAGTGATGTAGCTTACCCTAGATAAAAGTACATGAAAATGGAATTCATACAAAATTAGCTTGTGATGTGAATAAAAACTGAGGGTTTGTGTGATGGTGGAGGTAGGCTCAAACTCTCTAAACTTTATAAGCAAAGACTTTGCTTCCCTTCAACATTAACTGCAACTTCTGAAGGTGGGTTTCAATGACACAATAAATCCAAGAAAAAGAAAAACCTTTCTTTTCTAGAAAAACGGGTCCTTAAAGCTTTCAAAAAGCTTAAAAAGAAAGCTGATAGCAGAAAGCAATGGCAAACTTTTTCTCCATCATGTTCCCTCCTACCCTTCTTTCCCTTTCTCTCTCTAAATAAACCTTCCTTCTTCTTATTTTTACTTTCTCTTTCAATCCATTCCATTGGTATTATCAGTAAAGCCTGAATTCCTCTCCATTCCCACTCATCTTCCACTACATGTTGGATCACACTAGTGTTCCAGTGTTTCCCTCTGAAAATGGGGTCAGTCAGAAAAGAAAAAGAAGGCCAGCAGGCACCCCAGGTAAAAAAGAACTTGTGTAGCTAATTTAATACCTTTTTTTTTCCTTCTTAATTCAATCGGATTCTTCATGTAGATCCGGATGCAGAAGTCGTTTCGTTATCACCAAGAACGCTGCTGGAATCAGACAGGTACGTTTGTGAGATCTGCAACCAAGGGTTTCAGAGAGACCAGAACCTTCAAATGCATAGGAGAAGGCACAAGGTGCCTTGGAAGCTGCTGAAGAGAGAAACGCAAGAGGTGAAGAAGAGGGTTTATGTTTGTCCCGAGCCGAGTTGCTTTCATCATGACCCTTGCCACGCCCTGGGAGATCTGGTCGGCATAAAGAAACATTTCAGGAGGAAGCACTGCAATCAGAAGAAGTGGGTTTGCGAGAAATGCTCCAAAGGTTACGCGGTTCAGTCGGATTACAAGGCTCATCTCAAGATTTGTGGCACCCGAGGCCATTCTTGTGACTGTGGTCGTGTTTTTTCCAGGTATACAACAACCCCGACCACCTTATTATTATTACTACCCTTATCCTCTTCCTTCTTTCCCTTGTATTAGATTTTCAGAAACATCCCACACGTTTTTTCACTTTCCTTTTTCTTATATATCGTATGTAATTATGATACTTTTTTCTCTCCTTTCGTATTCAAACCCTAAAAATAGCTATCCTCCATAAACAAAACCCACACAGACATATATATATATTCACTGGGTTTTTTTTAAAAAAAGTTTCGTGCTGTTAAAGTATCGAGTACTCTTCTTGTTCTTGTTGGGTTCTTCAAGCTAAAACAAAATCCAAGGATGGTTTAATCTACAGTACAAAATGACCTCATGTTTCCATTTGCTTGTGACCTAGTCTTTCGCGAATCAAAATCTATGGCCACCGCATTTCCTATTCCCGATAACAGGTCTTTAGTTTGTCTGGTTTTTAGCCTTATATATAAAAAAAATAATTAAAGTATAATATCGAACGAACATATTAAAATTTATAATGCTTTTTAGTTTTGAGCGTTTTAATATTGTAAACGAAATCCATCCACGTAATCCATAATATAGATACTTTGATCAGTTTTATATTGCTTTGTTCCTCTCTAACCCTACATGAACAAGACTCGATTGCTCCCTTTTAACTGGTAAGTGGTAATCCGATGTTCTTTTGAAGTATTAAATTGCCGCGAAAACACAGTGTAATGGTAACTTTTTTAAAGTTACCCTAATACCAAAACTTACATCCGCAACATAAAAGTATAATTACTTTTAAGAAATAAATTACGTTGTACAGTAAACCATAATTTACTTAGTACTATATTTTAAATCATTGTTTTGCTCTTTTGTTGTTTCAGGGTGGAGAGATTCATCGAACACCAAGATGCTTGCACCGGTCGAGGACTTGGAGTTCAACGGCCTGAATCGCAAGCACTGCACCCTGGCTGTTCCTCTCGAACGAATTCAAGCACTAGTCCATCAAGCGATGCCAACTTTGGCATGACCGCTACTTTCTTGAACACCAGTGCGTCTACTTATGAACACCGACACCAACTGCAACACAACCTTGAACTTCAGCTTCTACCATCATCAACCACTCAGTCACCGTTGAGTTCAGATGATAATTGCGAGACTTTTTTGAAGCTTTCGATAGGGTCGAGGAGTGAAGTCAACAAGCTTGGTCTGGATACATTTAGGGAAAAGAATGCCAGTGAAACAGCATCGGAAGCTACTAAGTTGAAGGAGTTCGCAACTGAGCAGCTAACGTTGGCCATGACCGAGAACACCTATGCCGAAAAGGCTAGACTAGAAGCAAAGAATCTGATTGAGATGGCCGAGCTTGAGTTTGCTAGTGCTAAAAAGATAAGGCAACAAGCCCAAGGTGAACTAGAAAAGGCTCAAGTCTTGAAAGATCAAGCAACGAAAAAGATAAGCGCTACTGTCATACAAATCACTTGTCAAGATTGCAAGCACCAATTCCAAATACCAACAGCTGCGGTTCCAGCTGATGAGACCTCACTTGCCATGAGTTACCTGTCCTCGGCCACAACAGAAGGGGAAGTAGAGTGGCGGCAAGTTGATCATACAACGAAAGTGAGAGATTCTTAGCCTTTAAAATCTCTTTGTTTTAATCCAAATTTCTCATGCACTTCACATAAAAAACGTGCGTAGTACCTCCCTGAATAGATCTTCATTTGTTTAATAGAAAAGTAGATGACGCAATTTAATGTGATGTAGTAAAGTGCAACAACATCTATATGAAAAGAAAAAGAAAATATTATGCCTTGGGATTCTCCCTATCTTTCATTGCAAGGATGCCATGTAAATGTTATAAATATCAGTGTACTCGAATCTTTGTCTTGGGAATTGGCCTGAATGAACAATACAGGCATTTAAGGACATACGCATCTTGAAAAATCAATGCTAAATTACATGATTTTCTTTTTGTCTTGATGGGCTTTACTTATGCTTCAAGAGAAGCAAGGCAAAACAAAAAGGAATGAAAAAGGAAGAACAGAAAGAGAGGATCCCAAAAATGGGTTAGATTTTAGGCATAATTTGTATACATTGAAGGGTAGCTAGCTATGTCTAAAAGGGAGAAGAAGAAAGGACACTGTCTTCTTATGAATGAATGGCACATGGAATATAATGGGGGACCATTTTAGCTAGAAAATAGGAAGAACCATTCAAAAATGTTGGCCACATGGTATTCAGGTTTCAAACACAAATTCAATGTTTGGATGGAAAGAAAGTGTGGATGATGAAAGAAAAGAAAAAGGGATGTCATTTTCATTGCATTTGTTGTCCTTATGATTGCTCATATTATAAAAAGCACCATGGTTTTCAGTGCCATAGTTGAAATGGCTATACGCAGGCAGTAGTCCTCCTCAAACACTCACTTTATCAGATAAATCACAAGAGGTTGCAGAGAGATAGAGAGAGACACCAGACACAACAACAGAGCTAAGACCATCTAAAATCTATCGGTTTACGCATAATGATAAAACTAGTCCTAATGTTGACATAAAAATTAGTCCAAATTCTTTTTTCTTTAAGCATTTTAGCTCAAAACGATTTAGTTTTTTTAGTCAAAATAGCTCATGTTATATAAAAATGGTTAGTAGATTATCAATTAACACATGTTATTACTATGATATTTTTATATATTTAATTAATGATGTAGCACATAATTTATGACGTGATAAATGTCACGTCATCATTTCGGATGACATGTATTCATTTCAGGTGATATGATATATGCTACGTCACTAATTAAGCACGTGTGAAAATACCACATCAGCAACGATATGTTGATCTTAGTCACTAACAATTTCCATACAACATGAGTTATTTTTACAAAAAAATTGAAACATTTGAACTAAAATATTAAAAAAAGAATAGGAGTTAAAACCATTATTTATGTAAATATTTTAGACTAATTTTAACGTTACGCCATTATTCCATTATATTTTGTATTTTCGCAAGTTGAGCCAAGGGGAGGAAGAAGAGAGAGTGAAAATGAACCAAAAGGTTTCCATTTTCTCATACTTTTAGTTGTATATGGCAGGACCACATGCAGCACTCTTTCCCCCCCTTTCAATGCACCTTCCTTTCTTTTTCCGTTAGATAGCAAATACCAAATGAATGGCACTTTCGTTAATTTCAAGTGACTTTATGCTCCAACGCTTATCTCCCAAAATAAAAAATAAAAAAAAGAAGGAAAAGAAACCAAGTTGGAAGCTTTTTCCATCGTAATAATCCGAAGAAAAGGTTAAAATACTTTGTATTTATATTCACAAAAGGGGGTTTGTCTTATCCATGTGTTGGCTTGGTGGACTATTGCTATAAAATCTCCCCCACATGGTGAGCAGATGGAGAAAAGCCCTACTTTTAGAATTCAGGATTTATTTTATATACACATCCATGCGCATGCACATGTACACTTTTGGACAATGACATACTAATCAAGAAATGTATTATTATCTAAATAATTATACTCGTAATCAATTATTACGCTATATGAATCAGGTTTATAAGAAAAATACATTTAAATAATAATGATAGATGAAAATTTGATAATAAACATCACGGTTTTAAATTTTAGATTTTAAATTAATACTCCATCGTGCATAAGTTTAGTATTTCTTTGATCGATTTCGTAACATATTTAAAGTCTATAAAAAGATTATTATAGACATACCATGGAGATCAAAATTTTGATTTTTTTTAGAAAAAAAAGGAAGGCAATTAAGGGTGAAATATGGGTTATATTGGCATATATGGGCCCGTTGATAAGGAATTTTAGAGCCCAACTTCAACCCGATTAGCCCTACATTTTTGTATTTTAGGGTCTGCCCTATATTATCCACTCAATTTAGACAGATTAAATTATATACTATTATTAGTTTTTCAATGGTTAATTCAGATGAATAAATTATCAAAATATTTTCTATTTATTAATATTTAAATTTTATATATTTTTGAATTAATCGGATCTTATCTATTTAAAATAAAAGTAATTTGGGTGTTGATTTTTTATAATTTTATAAAATCTTTAAATAAATAGTGTTGTTAATAATCTTTCTTGGTTATTAATAAAGAATACGCTTGCAATAAAATTATTAAAATATTTGTGAATACAAATAATATTGCGCTCCAAAATTTTTGGAGGAGGTTTGTAAGGGTTTGGGTGTGTGCATGGTTCATCCTTCTTCCCCGCCACTGGCGACGGCTACCTTTTCTGTTCCGACATCTCATGAATGTCCGGAATCACATGTTCCGGAGGAAACGCAACCGGTGCCCAAGAAAGGGAGGGAGACCCTTCGACTAGGGAAATATCCCCGGCCTCTGGTTCGCTGAAAACAATTCTGCGATGGAGATTGAAACTGCTGCTAGTCTGGCCCCTGGAACATTAGACAAAGGAAGTTCTGATCAGGCTATGGAGGGAAATAAGGACGCGGTTTCGGTATCGCCGACGAAATCTTATGCTGCTACGGTGGTTGTTGCAGCAGGCAACAATTCGACGGGTGTTATCTTCGGCGAAGGTGATGTAATCCTGCAAGATGGGGATGTGCAGATTGATAGGAGTGGACCATATCCGAAAACTAGGTTTTCGAAAAGAGTGCATGAATCTATTGAATATAATATGAGACGCTCGATCATTGTTCGATTGCTCGGGAAGACGATAGGATATCGTATGCTTTGGAACAAGATCAAACTTTTGTGGCAACCACAGGAACAGTTTCAAATTATAGACTTGGACAACGGTTATTACCTAGTTCGTCTAGAATTAGAAAGTGATTACACCCGAATCCTGACAGAGGGCCCTTGGATGGTGTTTGCAAGCTATCTGACGGTTCAGCCGTGGTTGAGAAATTTTGATACTTCGGACAACTATCCTTTACATGTGATGGTTTGGATTCGCCTTCCGGGTTTACCCTATAGGTACTACAAGAAATCTCTTTTTAGTTTGCTGACTTCGGAAATTGGACAGGTTATCAAAGTTGACTACAATAAAACGACGGGGAAGCTGGGGAATTTTGCTAGATTAGCCGTGGCGGTTGATTAGTCAAAGCCTTTGCTTCCTTGTCTAGACATTGATGATTTTGTTCACAAAATAGAGTACGAAGGCCTTCCTCATATTTGTTTTAAGTGTGGAGTGTATGGACACGCTCATGAGAACTGCTGTTCTACTGAAGTTGTTCCGGAGAGTGGAAGTAATTACTCTATGGTCCGTGTTCAAGTTTAGGAGAAGGAACCAACTACAAAAATCGGGGATCTTTATGGACCTTGGATGTTTGCTCCTGAGCGAAAGCGGAGGACTCGAAAAATTCAAAAGCAAGCTGACCGAGGAGAGATATAAAAAATCTCCCCCATACTGATGCGAATCCTACAGTCCCGACTGAGGCTAGCAATTTAGCTGCACGTGGAGAACCCTTGAAGACTGCTTCCCGTTTCAATGTTTTAGCGTGTTGAGAATGTCAATCCTAATACCCAGACTCAGTTGAAGCTGCCCCGTCGTGAGATTGTAACTCCGAAAAAGGATAGTAGGGTGGTACCTAGGACGGGCTCTAAGGGTAAACAAACTGTTGATATGGATTTGCGACGGGATAATTGTGGGGGTCCTACAAAATCAGTAAATGTGAGTGATGTTGCTGCAGAAGGTGGAAGGAGGAATTTTCAGGTTGTTTCTTTAGATCGAGGTCGGGAACAACTTGCTTCTATTCAGGTGTCTGTTGTCTTTAACAAAACATGAGAATATTCATTCATCAAAAGGATGATTACAAGCAGTACGCCAGCAAGTTATTAATACACAACTTTACAAGCAATTAATACTAACAATCTAGCTAACCACCTCCAACAGCTTAACAAACTCTTAACTGTTGCTGACTCAGCATATATACATACATTGCATATACCTTTAATATTCTCCCTGCATCTTCACCTTCCTTCCCTCATCCCAACACAACACACACTTTTCTTCAAAACTCCTTAAATGTTTCTTTCGATAGTGGTTTGGTAAATCCATTAGCCACTTGATGTGCAGCCAGGACATAATTGACATAAATTTGCCCAGCTGCCACCTTCTCCCTTACAAAATGAACATCCAGCTCAACATGTTTGGATTGTGCATGATATACTGGGTTAGCACTCATAGCCACTGCACTCGTGTTGTCACACCAGAACACCGATTTCCCTTGTTGATGAATACCAAGGTCAGATAACAAAGTGCTAATCCATGTAACTTCAGCTCTAGCATCAGCAACGCTTTTGTATTCAACTTCCATAGTTGACCTAGACATTGATCGTTGCTTCTTCGAACTCCATGCAACAAGACATTTACCAATAAACACACTATAGCCCGATACTGACCTTCGATCATCCAGATTCGCGCCTCAGTCTGCATCTGCAAAGGCTGAGACCAACACTCTAGTATCAGTTGGCAAGAACAACAATCCATAATCCACAGTTCCTGCTAAGTACCAAAGGATTCTCTTTACTGCAGAAAGATGAGTCACTTAGGGTGCATGCATGAACTGAGCAACTTTGCCTACACTCAATGATAAATCAGGTCGAGTGTGACATAGGTAAAGTAACGAGCCAACAATGCTCCTATATTCACTCGCATCCTCCAATAACTCTCATTCCTCACATGATAGTTTGCAAGACAGAGTTATAGGTGTAGAACGCACAGCT